CTCACAGAAATCTATTAGCGCTCTCTCCGATTTCCATTCCTCTTGTCTCCCTTGCCCTCCTCCCTCCCTGGCTCCCCTCCCTTCCCTCCGAGCAGAGGCATCAGCTTTAGATGAAAAATTGCTCGAGGTCTATTCAGAAGGAGGCAAAGGAAGAGTCAGCCCCAGGGGCAGCCCAGGCCTGATTGAAAAATAAGTTAATTTCAGTTTGAATCGATGGGCCTCAGGCACTGAAATATCACGGGAAATTAAAGCAGCTGGTCCCCAGGGAACCACGCCATTGACCTGCGCTAATTAATGCCATGGAGTTACCAGGCCCCTCTCCGAGAGACAGCCCCTCCCTCCCCGTGGACACCCCAAACACCTCCTCATTTAACTAATTAGACTCACAGAAAATTGGGTGTTAATTTGTTTAGGATTTTTTTTTCTTTTCTATTTTTTTCCCTCCCTTTTCCGGAAAGTACACGGCAGAATGGAAATGAATGGCGGGGTCTCGCTGGCAGATGGATGCTCGGGGTCACTCCGCAATCTTCTCCGACTTGATTGCTTGATTAGGTCGTTAGCACATTAAAAAAAAAAATTGCTTGCCGTCTGGCGCTGGCCTGATGAGTGGGATGAGGCGGGAATCGCCTGGGTAATTTATCTTTTTATACTGCAAAGAATTTGATTTCAATCTGCAGATATATGGAGGTGCCTTTGACACCTGTTTAACATTACAGAGCTGACAGCTTAACCCTCTCTTGTCCCCACCACCTGCAGCCGTGGGGGAGCTCAGACTGCAGTGGGGAGCACTGGGGGACTGGGGCAGACCCCCAGCTCTGCCGTGGGGACCACGAGACTGATGCTGCAGAGTGATGTCCTGCTCTCAGCTGGCAAGGCAAGCTCACCTCTTCTACCTGTGCAGAGGGGAACTGCCCAGTACCGAAGCCTTGCGGGGACAGAGCTGCAGGGTAGGCGGGTGGCTTGCCAGCGCTGGTGACAGCCAGCCTTGGCCGTTCCTGGGAGTCCGGCCGGCCTGGCCCCCCAGGGAGCTCTGCGGGGTGAGTGGGGTGGTGGTCCCAGCAGCTGTGATCCCAGCTTCTCCCAGCAGAAGACACTCTGTGCATGTCAGAGGGGATTTTACAGCCAGGCTGCTTCACCACACATCACCTCCTCTGCATGACAAACAGTCTGATTTACGCTTTCATACTGCCGATATGTAACCCCTGGGCCATGAATGGCTGCGAATCCATCGGGGCCTGAGCAAGGACCCTTGGGAGTGCACAGCTTCCTCTCTCTGCCCGCTCCTCCATGCCTGCGCGGCACAGGGGTTTGCTCAGCCGTGCAGTCAGCAGGATGCTGGCAGGGTCCCTCTCTCCAGGCCACGCGCTCCTCCCATTCCCAGAGCCCGGAGCGCAGAGCTGGAGGGGACTGGCTCACTCCCTCTCCAACCTCAGCACAAACCCCTGTGGTTCCTTCTCACCCACCAGACCAGGGCAGCAGGGCAGCCACCCCCGACACCTCCATGCTGCGAGGGGGCAGCTCAACCCACCCAAGGCAGGAGAGGGATCCTGCCTGTTCTGCCCTGGATAAACTAGTACAGTTACGTTCCTCGCCGCAGAGCTCCTCTCTATCTCCTTTGGCTTCAGGGAGAAATTCCTGCAAAACCCAAGGGCCAGTGCCTGCAAATCTGCCTTGGTTTGGGGCTGTAGTGACACCTTTCCATGTACCCAGAGCGGTTTGCAGGGCTCGGCTCTGCACAGCTATTTTTATCACCCGTTGCCACACCTAGGATCTTAGCCAGGAACAGGTTTTTCCACCAAGTACCAAGTGGGCAAATTTTTAAACTCTCCTCAATCCTCTTCTATCTAGGTGCTTTTTTCCACCTCTCCCTTTTCCCTTCCTCCTGCCTTGATGCCCCAAACATCTTCCCCCATGCCTCAAGCTCCCCTGCCCTTCTCCCTGGCCAGGTCTCAGCCTGCCCCAGCGCTACCCGCTGCCACTAAACCTGCTGCCCTGGAGTATCCCCTTTCTCATGGCAGGGCCATGCAAATGCTGGAGCCAGCAGAAGCTTTGCCAGCTGGCAGCCCAATTTTGACTAGAGCTGGTGGAAAATTTTCAATCAAAAAATGCTGATTCAATCGCACAGGAAAAACTGCGTCCGGCCAGTGGAAGTGTAATCAAAATTATCTATGGCTTTCTTCTGAATGCTGTATTTTAATCTCGGCCACCTAAGACATGCAAAAATCTATGCTTTAAAGCTAAATGGGAAAATCAAAATGACAATAACACCTCAGTAAGATCATTCTGAGATTTCCCAAACCAATTTTTGTCATTTGGTGGTAATTTCCTCTTGGTTTTGACTAGGAAAAAGGAAACTTTGAAATCCCAGAATTTCTAGCAGAACAGAAATCAGGAGCACTGACCATCTTGCTTTAATACCAGGAGACACATCTTCATCTCAGGCATGAAGTCAAGTGAAACCAATGGTGCTCGATGCTGAATTTTGCTGGGATCAAACCCCAGCCCAGCACCTCCGCCACAAGCCCGTCCCGAGGAGCACAGAAGGAAGAGCTCCAGCACGGCACTGGCAGCACCCACGCCATTTCAGATCAGCAGAATTATTGTCCGTGGCCCGTTCTCAGGATTTTGTCCTTGTTCAGATGGCCCCATCAGTGGGACTTTCTTCTGTGAGAAGATCTCATTGCTTTCTTCAAATTTCCTGGTGTGTTATGAAAATTTTCCTGTGCTTTGATTCTGAGCTGAATTACGCACCAGTTTTAGTAATTCTGAGGTATTTTTGGCTGTGTTGGTACATCAGCCATGACTTCCAAATAAGCAGTTACTTATTATTGGCACCTCACTTTTCCTGAAGAGTATTTCACCCTTACACTTTTACACTTACTTGCAGTTTTAGTATTCCATGTCTTCTTTGGCTGCTTGTTGTCTTTGCTTGGAGATATCTACTCTACAATTTCTCCAGCTCTCTAAAATTCAGTCAGCTTCAAGCAATGTTTAGGTTTGTCCACACTTCCCCTTGCCCCTTCCCATCATGTGGATCAGCTCAGCTTTGTGAAATGCCTTATTGACATGGCTGTGTACCACGCACCTTCCTTCTCACTTGCTTTCATCTGGTTCTCCATTGCACAGCCCAGGGTATGGTGAAAAGATTGTGTTTGTGCTCCCACACTTCACAAGAAGTGGTGAAAACCCCTGATTAATTTTAGACTGAAGCACGTCAGATGTTTGTGCGAAACTATCACAATCTGATGTGCAGAGGTGTCTTTTCGACCAATGTGCTACATCTTAAGGTGATTTACAGCTTTTTATTATCACACGAGCACCCTCTGTGAAACACGGGAAGCTTGTTCCAGGAATCCTAGCCTCAAAAAATGGACAAGAGTAGAGAGGACAGGTCTGTCTTGCTATCCCCCAGATGTGTTAGCATCTAAGTTCAGCCCATGCATGCATGTTTGCTGTTTAGCAGCCCAAAGCCCTCTCCTGGGCTGCTCCTGAGGCTCCGCAAGTGCTGCCCTTGACATACCAAGGGCTGGATCTGGGGTGGTCACTGCCATGGCCAAGCTGGGGGCAGCAGCCAAGCATGCTCTGACAAGGCTGCCAGACAGCCTCCGTGCACCAGGCAGCAGGGTAAGATGATGCTCACCACACACTGCATGCTGCAAGCTGGGTTATGCCTGCACACCCTGCAGAAACTGCAGGCTCTTCTCTATCCATGGGTTTTGGTCCTCTAGGCATAGAAAAGCTGCAAGATCAAAACCCATCACCTTGCAAAACCTGGTCTCAATACAAAGCA